TCGCCGTGCCGCTCGGGTCGCCATGCGCGCGCTGCTCCGGCTGTGTCGCGCGGGCTGCGGGGGTCGCGCGGGGCCGCTGGTGGCCGGGGCATCCCGCCGCGCCATGGCCGGGTTACGCACGGAGGAGCGCGGCCGGCTCGGCTCGCAGGACTTCCGCGTCTTCTTCAGTGAGTGCGGGGGAAGGGCCCCGAGGGAGCGTGGGAAGACCGTGAGGTGCGGCCCTGCTCCGCGCTCCCAAACACCGGGCGCGGAAGCTCGCGGGGCCGCTGCGCGCCAACGGCTGCCGGGCGGGCGGAGCCTCCGGGCGCGCCCCCGACTCACCCCACTCCCGCCCGAGGAAGGGGCCGACCGGCGTGGGCTCGCGCGTCCGCGCGCAGGTCGCGTCCCCTCCCCCTCCGCGCGCGCCCAGGGACGCCACGTGAGCGGGAGGTGACGCAGGGGGGTGGGGAGAGGAGGCCGCCCGCCCCGCCCCCGCGCCTGGAGCTCCGCCCCGTCTCCCGGCGCGCGCGGACCTCGAACTTCCTGGGCTTGCACCCGGGATCCGGGCCGGGCCAGGGCTCTGGAGCCGCCCAGCCGGGCTTCCCTCTCCTCAGAACTGAGCACAGGGGTCCCCGACCTCGAGTTGCACAGTGCCCCGCACAGCACAGAATGCAGGTTCCTGCTCTGAAGGACACAGAGGATGCCTGCGCTTTATAAAATGGGCAGGGAGAGACCCGATTGCGGCGCAGCTGATACTAAAGCTGTATTTTCTTAAACATCGGTTTGCTTTTCCTCCTCTAAGCAAGTGTTGTTTCTTTCCACTGCTATGTGGTGAAGACTGACTGACCGAGCAGAGGCCCTTAAGAAGTTTGAAACTGGGAAAAGATAGTTCGATGGAAGGTCGCAGTGTAGGGGACCCTGAGAGTGGGCGCCCTAGCCTGGAAATGATAAAGCAGTTGTTTATTTTCAGAAAAAAAGAAAAAAGTGATTCCTGCAGTGAGTCCAGGGATGGAAGCGAAAGGTGGTTGCTAAGAGGTGAACCGAACCCTACTGCTCCGTGGGGCTGAGGGTGTTTGTGTATTGGCCTGCCCACCAGCGATTCCTATTCTCATTGTCATTACCACTCATAGCAGTAGTTATCAATGTAAGGTACAAATCGCTGGAAATATTTTACTTGCTTTAGAAACGACAAAATACAGGGTAGCATTTGACCCAGCCCTGCCCTGGATGGGGCCCTAACCCTGACCCTTGGGCAGGTAGTTACTGCACTCCCCCCTCCCGGGACAGTTTGTAAAGCTGTGACCTTGAAGGAGCCTCAAGGACATCTCTCTCAGGGGCGAGGTATCCAGGGGGCAGCCCTCAGCCTCTTGGTCTCAAGCTGTCCCTTATTTCTTTAGCTGCAAATGTGCTTCGCACTCCTGGTTCTTCTATCACTCAGTGCCATAAATTAATTTCCCCCTCTCTCTAGCCGGAGCAGAAAAGAGAGGGAGAGGTCGGGAGGAAGGGACTGGGTATGGGTTAGATGCTTCCTGATCCAACCACAGAAGGAGAGGCGGGCAGGGCTATATTACCAGCAGGACCGGTGGGACTAGTGACTGCTGTCCATGTCAGATGGCTTTTGCTGGAGATGTTCACAGTAAGAAGAGGAGGAGAGTTCATGGCTCCCGGTGCACAGGAAGGATAGTGTTTGATCCTCACTTCTGTTTGTGGTTTCTTTTCCCTGGCAAGCACAGGGGCCTGAGTTTGAGTCCAATCCCTGGTTCTGGGGAAAAAACAAAACAAAACAATATGAATAACAGTGAAGAAAACCACAAACAGAAGTGTATGATTGATGGCTCAGTACAGTAAGTGCTTTCCTGGCAAGCTCAAGGACTTGAGTTCAATCCCTGGTTCCGCAAAAAGAAAAAAAAAAAAATAGAGTGATTTTATTTTTATTGAATTCAGGGCTTTTACACTGAGCTATATCTCCAGCCCTTTATTTTAAAACAGGGTCTGGCTTAGTTGCTAAGTGGTCCAGGCTGAACTAAAACCTGCAGTCCTCCCACCTCAGCCTGCTGGAGTGCTGGGATCATAGGTGTATACCACCAGGCCCAATTTAATAATTGTTGTTATTTTTTAAAATTGGTGCTGAATTAAGTGGATGCCCCTTGAAGATATACCTATTAGTGAAATAAACCAGACCCACATCTGTAAATATCGTATTGTCTCCCTAATATAAGAACTTACAATTCCGTATATGACTAGGTTTCTAAATTTCTTTGTAAAAATATGTAAATGCTTATTTCTACTTTTATGTAATTATTTTTCCTTCATATTCTGTAAGGACTAAAGTTCAACGTATCAATATCCGAGGGAAAATACCTGTTCCAGGATATGCCAAAATGTTTGATATTTCGACAGATAGGGTAAACCGAACTGCATATTTTGCAGGTTAATAATTAGCTTCTCTTCTGGAGGGTTAACAACCTAAGTTAGCAGATCAAAATTGGAGAAAAGGAAGGGCTGCATGGTTAGCCAACATTTTGGCCCTAGCTTTTCAAGGTCAGTGAAGACTCAGGACACAGGAGAACCTGTACTGTAACAACATGTAACTCAGATGTGCTCCAGACTTTCAGATCAAGAAGATTATGGAGCCACAGAGAAATGTGTTCAATGATCTAAAGTGAGCCTGGGGAGAGTCACATGGAGAGAAAAAACATTTTCTCAAGCTTTCACAGAGAACAAATTGGTCAAGCAATGGCCGTGACTCATCCTCATGTCAGACACTGACAAAAGGATGTACAAAGGATGGTACAGGGCTACAGGATAAATCCTGAGAGTACTTGGCTGACCTTATCAGATACAAAAGTTACATTTCTGGGTATATAGGTCTTGCTATATCTTGGTCTTAACCATCCAGCAGAAAAGTATAAAAATGAGGTATATAAAGTAAATCCATATTAACACGATGAGCTGTAAAAGGCTCAAGTCAATAACTTCTGAGGATAACCCACTAATATTATAGACTGCTAGACAGTGTTAGATTGTTTAGTTGAATTCAAACACCTATAGTATTTAGATGCCAATAGAATATTCACCTCTGACAGGACAAAAAAAATTAAAATTAAAAAATGATACAAAGGAAAGATCATTTTGTATTTATATATACAAAATAGGATAAATTTACAGCTACTTTCGCTTAACTCAATGAGAAGAAAGAGGTGTACTAACACTGTTTGGACAGAATATCCTGTCTGCTTCTTGTACTATGGATAATCACTAAGAAGATAACAATGTACAGTGTATTGATTATCAAAACTGTCCTATTAATCAGCTGTAAAAAAAATGGTGCTGAACTTCATAGGAAGTATTTTGGGACAGGAGGATTTAGTGGCCTTGTGGGTGCTGCCTGGCCCTGTTCTTACCCTGCATCCTGGGGACCTGTCATGTCAGCCTCCTGGACCTGCTTGTATTAAACCACTCAATGAGAATCATTTCCCAAAGGATGCTTAGTTGGACACAGCCTCCTGTGGGACAATATTTGATTTTCTTTCAAACAAAGGCTTTCACCATTTGACCAACTATAATACGTCTCATATTGCCTTTTTGGAGAGTAATGGTGTGTGCATTAAAGTCTGGAAATTCTGATGTGAACGAACTTGCCCCAAATCTTTGAACCGTCCTCATTTCTCAGGATGTGCTGATCCCTCAGTGACCCTGGGTGGTAGAGATTTGGGGTGTCAGTTTTGGAAGGAATGCATGAGGTGATTTTGGCGGTGTGGATATTAAGTGAACATTATTTCTTTTTACCTTTTGGCTGTAAATCATTAGTCAAACTTATTTAATTTTATGGAAGGTGAAAGTAATGGATTGTGTTTAAACTTGAATATCTTTAATGCCCTGATTAATTAATTCTGAGGCCCCAGAACTGTAATGGGTATTGCAGTCTTTGAATTAACTGTAAAACCAGAAGGAACTTAGGCCTGTGTAGAGGGGCCACAGAGCTAGCCCCTCCCTCAGTATTCCTCAGGTATCTTGGTTGTTTTTGTTTTGTTAAATTAATAACTTGAATGTTCCTTGTTTTAGGTTTTTAAACTTCACTGCAAGGACAGGAAAAAGCCGTGCTTTTCATAACTTGTATTTTTGCTACTGTAGGGTAGATACAGATGACTGCCTTACAGAAACAGGGCTGTGGTACAGAGATGTAGCCCAGCAGCACAGGATTTGCCTAGCAAGCACTAAGTCCTGAGTTTGACTTCCAGACCCAAAAAGAAAAGGTGTATAGGTGATTAACCTTCTTTTACTTAGAATGAGAATGACTCACGCAGTTCTTTAGTTTGTTTATGATGAAATCATTGGGTTCTTTTTTTTAAAGTACATCATTTGAATAGTAGCTTCAAATAGGCCATTGAATACATTTGAACTTACTAAAATTTCTGTGAATAAGTTCCAGTAGCCTTGTTATTTTTGAGTTGGCCCATATTGTAAAACTTCAGTCAACACATGAGAACAGGGTGGCTGTCTTGGAATACAGGAGGATTGGATTGGTGTTCTGGCCCTTGAAGCAGCCTGGTTTTCTAAAGGAAGTGTTGTGAAATAGAAGTGTTGTCACCTGTGTAGAAGACGATAGATGGAGCTGATTTTTAGACTTCTTTAAATTACTTAATTTTATCAGAAAAATCAAACAAAGCTAGCTTCCATCATTATTAACTAGTAAGCACATATAAACAGCTTCAGTAGTTGTTTGTATTAGTATATCAATTCTTAGCTTAAGTGTAGCTGTTTAGTGTATAAACATATTATCTGGTACTGTTTCATGTTGGATCTGATTTTATCACTTACTACTACAGGTAGGAAATTTTCAGCCATGGGGGAGGAAGAAGCAACAGGTAACTTATAAAACGACAGCATAAAATCAAGAATTGGGGACCACTTGCAGGGAAAGTTTTGACTTGGGCAGTGCCTTGTGATGTTGGCAGTTGTGAAATATCAAGACAGAGAGACATGTCTTCTACAATTGTTTGTCTTGCCTCTCTCCTAGTGAATATTCTAGTATCATCATAGTAAGTGAGTGTGAGAAATGATGATCCTAAAACAACAAAACAGGAGACTTTGGCACTGGTGATGGCATTTCATGAATTTTTTTTCAAAGAGGGAAGTGTGGTGAGGACTGAGCAGGCAGGAGGAGTCCCTGCTTCCCTGGGTGCCT